TTGTCGGGGCTAGGTATCTGAAAGCACTTTGATCGAGATGTGTCGCAATAATCTCTTGATCGACATTTTATCCAAGGTCGGTGCGGTGGAAACCCGAACCTGGAAGGAACTTGTTCTCCAAGGCAAGAAGGTGGAAAACATCATTAAAAGGCTGGAAGCCGAAGAGCCTCAATCTAAAAGAGGAGCTTCGGAACCAAGTGCCCCCAGAAACCCTTCTCGGTTGAGGGGGAAAGAGATTATGGCTGTCGATTCTACTCCGGCCCCTAAGCTAGCTCAGAGACAGAAGCCTAAGTCTTTTGAACAGCAACCTCCGAGACAATACGACTTCAAGGAAGACCAAGTTATGGCTACCTTCGATACTCTCCTCAAGAGCAACAGGATCAAGCTGCCAGAAATCACGAAGCCTGAAGACGTGAACAAAATAGATGATCCAAACTACTGTACGTACCATAGATTTTTAGGTCATTATATCTCCAAGTGCTATATCATTAAGGATAAGCTGCAAGCTCTTTATGACATGGGAGTCTTAAAGAAGGAAAATGTGCATAAGAAAGTGACTACAAACACGATCACTCTTAAATTCAGGACAGATCTTCCTGAAGTCTATACACCAGTAGGGGTTGTGCCCATCCCTAAGGTAGAGCTGAAAATTATCAATGTCGATCCTCACAATCAACGAGAAAAAGGTTTGGTGCCACAGACCTTGCCATCAGGACGAGCAGTGGACTTTCAGCAAGTCCAAAGGCAAGCCTAAGCTTTGTAACATCGTTTCGGAAATTCGAGACGATGACAAAGTGGAGATAGCGACCTTCACCGATTCCGACAATGAGGTAGATGCATTGATTACCTAAGCGGGGAAGGACTTTGCCAAGAACTACCCCCGATAGCAAAAAATCTAACAAAACCACCGTCGAGACTATCACCAACAGTCTAACCGAATCCCGGCAAGCTGAGCTCAAGTGGTCAACCCTTTCAGTTCGACCTACTCACATAGCTGAAAAACATTCCAGCCAGGATCACATTGTATGAGCTCCTGCGGCTATCCAAGTCTACACGGGAAGCTCTACCGGAGGCATTAGCCGACTTAGAGGATTTTGACACACATTTCTTGCCTACTTCAGAAGAGGACACAGAGAAAGGGTGTCCGCAATGCTGCCAGATATCCAAACAGCAGATCCCTTGCATTACCTTCAATCCTGAGGATATGCTCATCAAGAGTACATCCCACGACTGACCCCTGTACTTCACGGGATACGTTAGCTCCTCTCGAGTGGATAGAATCCAAGTAGATCCAAGGTCTGCACTGAGCATTGTCCCCTTGAAGCTCATCAAATACTTGGGGGTGCCTCAAAAGTGGTTGTCTGCAATGACTACCATCATCTTTGGCTTCAACGCCATCGAAACTCAGCCGCTGGGGAAGATCCGCCTCAAGTGCCGGTAGGGCAACATGAAGACGGAAGTGACCTGCTACATCATTAATGCAGAGCCTTCCTACAACATGCTATTGGGTCGGCCATGGATCCATAGAGTTTGGAGAACATATCAATATGAAGTCACTTGTTCGAGCCGCAAAAGGGATCATATGTTGCATATGAACTCTATCACTTTGTTTTTAATGTTCATCAATCAATGTAATATGAGCTCTATCTCTTCTAGCAACTTATCACTTTCCTAATTTTTTAATATGTGGTTATGACTGTGGAATATACATTTACCTTTATATATGAATTATCCTCCATAGAAGTGATATATTACATGTTATGCATGTCGATGATTTATCGGAGGTATTACGTGTGAGGCTGTAGTCGAGTTGATAATATAAGGTTGGAAATTGAAAAAGCTCACTGACTCACTAGATGTGAATAACCCAAAATTCATTCCCGACACAAATAAATGATGAAAGATTGGAGAATGAGGCATTGTGGACGGAAAAAATAATAATAACTTGTTTATGTTTTATGTGAAATATTCTTGTGGGTATTTTTGTGGTATATGGTACATTTGGTTGACCAATCTGCGTATTTGGAATTTTAACAGTATAGTTTTTGGGTTATATTTAACATGCACATATTATAGTTAACAAATATCTGTAATATCAAACAAGAATGATTTATAGTTAGCATGTACCTATTAAAGTTAGTAGGTACATGTGGTACATAACATGAACTGGTTATAATTAACATGTACATGGTAGAGTTAACATGTTATTGTGATAGTTAATAGCTGCTTGTTATTTTAATAGGTACTTTTGATAGGTAAGATGCATATGTTAGAGCTAATAGTTACATGTGGTGCTTAACATCTACACGGTATATGACATATAATTTGCAAATAAATTGAACATTAGCAGCTACTGCTTAAAAGTACATACAATAGTGATAAAAATTAATATGCCAAAAGTAACATCAAATAACCTTAACGTCAACACTGAATAATTAACATAAAAAATATGAGAATCAAAATAAATCTTCTAAAATTATGATTGCATTTCATATCAATCAGCGTTAGGTTCATTGTACGTCATTCGGTTGTGACCTTTAAAATGGCACCAAGAGCATTTCAAAGTACATTTATAAATTGTTCTATTATTGATTAGTCTTGTTCTATTTCTACCCTTCCTTTTAGTAGTAAGTGGTGAAACTATGTTGATCTCATCTCTTGGTATACTACGCTTCTCATAATCTGGTATGAGATAAATGATTAGCTCATAACTCTTTTTGAACACTTCTACAGACATAAACCAATCATAACATTGATAAACATCTCTTTTCATATACATGATGATAGCACAAGCATGTTTATAAGGAATTCGAGTTACGTCCCAAGCCTGGTAGGTGCATGTCTTCTTGTCCAAATCAATATGTGTTGTTTTATGGGATTGCACTTTGAATATTTTATCTGTAGATTATTTAACGTCTAATGGACAACTTGTATCCATATTTTCTTTAAACACTAACTCCGCCTTAGGACAAAGATATGCATTCTATGTTTAGCAATTGTGCGTCACTTATTTATGTGAATCATAATTTGCTTACGGATATGCTCAATAATCTATAAAAAGTTAAGATATCGAGCTTCCCCTATCTAATTGTTAAAAGACTCAGCAATGTTAGATGTAACATGACCATACTTAAAAAAAATTTAATAAATAATAGTTATATATACTATAAACATAACAAATGCAACATGACCTTAACTGGTATGACATAAACATGACTTATACAAGACAAGTGTAACATGTGTTTTATAAACTTAACAGACACATAAGAACGTTAACATTTACACCATAACCTTGACAATGTTCAGCATGAACTTAACGTATATATAAAAAAGTTAACTTGTACTGCATATATTGAACAAGTATGTCATAATTTCAACAAGAATGGTATAACTTTGACTAATTCCTAGAAAGAATGCATTTGCCACTGCTCGGGAGAGTAGTTAATAGTAATGCTATATGTCATTGGATCTATGTCATAAATTTCTTTCATATAATCATTCTATTTTGCTATAATTTACTTATAAAAAGCTAATTGGAGTAGGTGCCCTAAAACATGAGTGTCTTTCAATTTCATTCCCAAGTCCTTTAGGTTTAGTCTAAAGTTTTCAACCAGATGTAGAATGCATTTATAGTGGAGAGCTTCTGGAAATATTCTTTCGGTGAATGAAGGGCATTTTCGAGAGATTTGGCAAAATACGTATACGTATGGGCTACGTGTGAGCTGGAAGGACTGGGCCACATAAATTTTGAATTTTTAGGGCTAATACACATGGTCCATAATAGGAGGGGCTGGGGCCACATGAGTTTTTTTATTTTTTAGGGTCTTAACACAAATTTTCCAAGAATTAATACACATTTAATTTCTTTGTTTTCTCTAAAGGGAAATATTGAAATAATGAAAAAGTTTTTCTTTAAGCTTTCAATCTCTCCCCCCCCCCACCCCCCACATTCCGGGTCCTCCATTTTAGTAGGATTATGAAAGGGCTAAACGACACTTAAATGCCCTATTGTTTCACCATATTTGCACTTAAATATCCTAAATTGTAAAAAGTAGCACTTTGATGCTCTAACTTATAAAAAAAAGCGACACTTAAATACCCTATTGATTCACCATCTTTACACTTAAATATTCTAAGTTGTAAAAAGTAGTACTTTAATACTCTAAGTTAAAAGAAAACAACACTTTGATACCATAAAGTTGTAAGAAAGTAAAACTTTAATACATTCTGTTTGTTGTTAGGATATATTCCTAAGAATATTTTCATGACAACTACCAAAAAGTACTAATGTACTAATTTTTAATAATTTAGAGTATAAAAGTGTTACCTCCTACCACAACTTAGGATAGGTATTTAAGTGCCGTGTTTAGCCTTACGAAAGTGATGCCCATTTTTAGCCCTCCCGTCCTTTTCGCTTTACTAATTATAGATAGAAAGGGAAACACCCGCTTTTTGAAGGAATTGCGCTGTTGACTACTTAGCTCCCCTTCTTATCCTGTAGCAAGTACCACGCCACCATTGTTATTTGTTTATTTCTCTATATAAATTATAAAGAACAATTTTTCAAAACAGATCCTTTAAAATTTTTATTTTTCAAAATCGACCCTATTTTTTTTTATTTACCAAAACCGACCCGTATTTTTGATTAGCAGCCTAATCACATTCCTAAATAGTCGGGGTTGCCAACCCCGACTATTTAGGACTTAAATTTGTATGGTTTAAGGCTTCTAATTAGGGTTTAACACCCTCCTAAATAGTCGGGGTTGGCAACCCCGACTATTTAGGAATGTGATTAGGCTGCTAATCAAAAAAACGGGTCGGTTTTGATAAATAAAAAAAACATGGTCGATTTTGAAAAATAAAAATTTTAAAAGGTCTATTTTGAAAAATTGTTCAATTGTTATTCTTTGTGGAAAATTTAATTTAAGCCCTCGTCTTATATCTATTTGTGACAAGCCGCTTTGATAAAGAAAATTGTGAAAATACGAGGATTTTCGTCGCCTCCGCCGTCGGATATGGAGATCTCGGCCGTCCGATCCGTGGCCGTGGAGCTCGACGTGAGTGCGAAGGGGTCGGAGATCGAGAAGGCGGTGAAAAAAGCGTGGGCTGCGTTTGGGCGGATCGACGTGTTGGTTAATAATGCCGGAGTTCGAGGTATAGTAACTTTTGTCGCTTTTGATTTCTCACGTTGATCGGTAAAGTTTGCTCTGATATTTACTGTGACGATGTCTAGGACTTTTAACTGTGTGGGGATTAGAGGTAATTTTTAGTTGTTATTAAATTTGAGACTTGTAAACGGCCGTATGCTATTTTGATTTGTTTTTAGTGTATAAATTGGAGTTGATTGTGCTTAAAAGATGAGATGTTTTTTTCTTCCTTCAGATTTCGTCTCTATATGAAACTTCATAAAATCTTTTTCTTTTCTTCATTTCATTAATTCGTTAATTCGTTCTAAATAAGAAGTGGTATGAAAACCTCTGATTTTTCTTTGGTATTGTAATGGGGTTTTGTTGTATTTTCGGGAACTATGTATTTTCTGGTGATTTTAGATTGGGTGGATCATTTTGGTTTTCTTGTTAGGCATGCTATATTTTTTATTTTATTTTATTTATTAAGGTTTTGCAGAGAATACATGGAAATTTTAAGTTTTTGCTGACAATTTATGATCTGTCACTTAATGATAAAAAGTTTGGGTCATGGCTTGGCGAGGCCAAATTACAGTTTCTATGTCAATTTAAGATAGATAGTGTTCAATGATATCTAAGTATGTTGCCATGTAATATTTGATTTTCATCAATGCAAATACAATTATCCAGTGACAAGGAACTCATTAATCTGACTCAACTACTAAGCACGAGGATTAATGTTATAGCCTTATAGGTAGAGTAACTCTACTCCATATAATAGCATTACAATAATTTAATTGTAAGGGAAGGAACATGGATTCATGCTTTCTTCTCTTTTATCATATACACATTCATTTTTTAAATTAATTTTTTCGGTTCAATATAGAATCCACATCTGATATTACTATATTCATTTTGCAGACCTGATCTTTGTGACATTAGCAGAATATTAAAGTCACATTAGGTTCTCTAAAGTGATTCAGTTTAGGGGCTTGCTCCAGCTGGGTTGTATAACATTATTGTTTACCATCAAAGTTATCTTAAATAGTGGTGATACTTTTCCACAATTTAATCAAGGTTGGATATCGGGTGTTTTCATCGTGTTCACTTTTGGTTTCCTGGCTGTAGCTGTCTTTTACCTGATTATTTGTAAGGCTCGAATCATAGATTTCTCATGCATCTAATCTAACTTTGATTAACACCATTTGTTCTACTATTTACAAGAGTCTTGCAACTTCTGTTGTAACTATTGTATAGTTGAACCTTAGCACTATCTTTAGTTTTACATCTATTATCTATACTCTTATATTAAAAACCAAATGAGGGCAATAAAAAAAAATCAAGGAATGGAGGACATTTTCTCCTTTCCATTGTAATTGATAGGGTATATTGATAATTTCACAAGAAATATTTTTTTCCCTCCTTTTTTTTTCCTCTGCCTTTACGCTAGATCATTCTAAATTATCATATTCCATGTAAATGTTCTAGATCATTCTAAATTATTCAATCTCATGAACAAGATTGAAGCTCACATAATTTAATGTCCACTATATTTAGGTTAAAAGATATAATGAGAAATTGTTGAATTTTAATAATAATAAATATGTGACTTTTTATTAAAAAAGACTGTTGGCAATAGTAATAGTTGAGTTCTCAATAATGTATTGTCAGGTGTCATTTGAAATCCTTTTCTCATGACATGTTAAGGCATGTGTTTAATCTCCTCTCTTTTACGGACATAGCATGTTGACCTTTTAAGAACTACAGAGAACCTTTTCTACATTTATTTTCTGAGAATCTAGCAATTATATGGGTTTATCTTTTTTAGATAATCACCAAAAAGTTTGTATTATGACGTAAATGCTAGGAGGTTCCGTTTGATACTTACACTGACTTTTGGCTATAAGAATGAAATGGACTGTTCTGTGAGTTTTAAAACTCTGGAATTCTCATTTAACAAGAACGGAGGCAAGTGAAGGCAATATGTATAAGTTCCTAGCAAGTTAAATGAATACCTCAGGACCTCATAACAAGGTCAAGTTCTAGTCTTCCTTGTTTTGTTCTTATTTTACATGATACTCGATTTTTTTCCCAATTTACCTATTTGTAATTTCTTTGCATGCATGAATTTTACTGGATGGACGTTTTTTATTTATTATTAGACGCATATATCTCTTCTGATGCTTGCTTCACAACTTATATTTCGAACTTCTTTATTGTGATCTATTCTTCATTTTGGTTCTATGCCATATCATACCCATCACCTCTGATTTTCGTGTATACATGCCTCAGGTGGTGTATATTCTCCAATAGATTGGCCTGAAGAAGAATGGCAAGCTAACATCTCCACCAATTTAACTGGATTGTGGCTCGTATCCAAGTATGTATGCAAATTGATGAGGGATACAAAACAGAAAGGGTCTGTAATCAATATTTCATCCATTGGTGGTACCATGCGTGGACAATTACCTGGAGGAAGTGCTTATTCCGCATCAAAAGCAGGAGTGATTGCTCTTACAAAGGTACTATTATTGAAAATTGTTTATTTCTGATACTTGCAATTATATTTTTGTTTACATGATTCTTTAGTGCTAAACTAAATACAGATGGGATAGACTAGCAACAAGGGAGGTAATGGTTTTTAGTATATATGTATAAACTATAAGGTTTTCCTAGGAACCGCCTTTAAAATAGGGTAATTTTGTTGCACGCCGTGCGGAAGCGTGCTCGACAACCAAACGAGTCGGTGAGCGATGAGAGAAGAAAACCAAAACCAAACACGAGTGCAATTCACAAAATAACGACCAAAATCACACACAAACACAGGAATTTACGTGGTTCGGCAATTGCCTACGTCCACGGGGAGATGATGGAGAGATTTCACTATATGGAGGAGAAATATAACGGATTACAACTCACAAAATCACTCAAATATAACCCTAACCAAAGCTCTCAACTCCCTCACAATATCTCTCTCAAAGTGCTCAAAACAATGCTAATTCTCTCCTTTAGAAACCCTAAAAAACGTGGTTCTATTTATAATAAAACACAATCCCAAATAGATTAGGATTATAAAAACGAGTCTGCCACACCCTGGTGTGGCACACACCACACCCATGACAAACATGACAGATTCTGCCACACCAGGGTGTGGCAGACAACACACCCATGGCAGATAGGGCAGAATCTGTCACACTCATGGAAGACACCACATCAGGGTATGGTGGAGTCTGTTTTGCTTATTCTTCACGTTTTTCTCAATTCCTTCGCCGTTTTTACAATTCTCCACATCGGCGAAGTGTTCTCAACACTGAGCCGACACCAACATGAGCACCAATGCGTCGTTTCTCCAAACTCGGTTGCACCAATATGGTTACCTACGTACCCTCTCTCCCAAGGGACCAAGCCGCCCGTTCATCCAAATGGCCGTCAACGGCCTCAACAATATCGAATGTACAACAAGTTTCGACAATGATCAAACTTGTTGCTCGGAACCACCTTAGTGAGCATATCCGCCAGATTATCCTTCGTGTGGACTTTCACAATCTCCACATCATCATCTTCAAGAACATCCCGAACGAAGTGATAACGAACATCAATGTGCTTCGTCCTCGCATGAAAAACCTGATTCTTCGTCAAATAGATAGCACTCATGCTATCACAATGAATGGTGACGGACCGCTGCGATATACCAAGTTCCTTCAAAAGTCTTCGAAGCCAAATAGTCTCATTCATAGCCTCCGTAATCGTCATATACTCTGCCTCCGTCGTAGACAAAGCCACCGTAGACTGTAAGGTGTATTTCCAACACACCGACGTATGGGTCAAAGTAAACACATACCCCGTAGTAGATCGGCGCTTATCCAAATCTCTGGCATAATCCGAATCCACATATCCAATGCACAACTGCCCACCTGTAGTGTCCCGCTCATAAATCAAATCAACATTGAGCGTACCTCCAATGTACCTCAAAATTCATCTCACGACGTCCCAATGACCCACTCCTGGATCGTGCATGTATCTCGAAATCATGCTCACCGCCTGTGACAAATCCGGTCTCGTACATACCATCGCATACATCAAGCTCCCAACAGCACTCGCATATGGAGTTTTCGACATCAACGCTCGATCTTCAACTGACTTCGGTGAAAGATCAGTTGAAAGCTTCAAATGAGCTCCTAATGGTACACTAACTGACTTCGTATCCATGCTAACATAAAATCGCTGTAGTACCTTCTTCAAATAAGCCATCTGTATCAAACAAATTTTACCATTTTTCTTGTCTCTACCGATCTCCATTCTCAAAATACGTTTGGCCTCACCCAAGTCCTTCATCTCAAACTCATTTAAAAGCTGAATTTTCAACTCATCTATAGCCGACCTGAAAGTAGAGGCAGCTAACATGTCATCGATATAAAGTAACAAATAGATATACGCACCTCCTCTTAACTTGCGAAAATACACGTAAGGATCAAACTGGTTCCGAGTGTACGAATGACCAAGCATAAAACCATTAAATCGCTTATACCATTATCGAGGAGACTGCTTCAAACCGTATAACGATTTCTTTAACCTGCAAACTAACTTATCTTTCCCTGCAGCTCGGAATCCCAATGGCTGAGTCATATATATTTCTTCATCAAGATCACCATGAAGAAATATCATCTTCACATCCAACTGATCTAACTCTAATCCATACTATATCACCAAAGCTAGCAGAATCCGAATCGAAGAATGCTTCACCACCGGAGAGAAAACCTCATTATAGTCAATACCTTCCTCCTGTGCATAGTCCTTCGCAACCAACCTAGCTTTGAACCTCAATGGAGTATCCTTAATGCCCTCCTTCTTCGTGTATACCCACTTGCACCCAATCGCCTTCCGCCCATTTGGAAGCTCAATAAGCTCCTATGTATTGTTCTTATGAAGAGACTCCATCTCCTCCTGCATAGCTACCTGTCACGAATCAGCCTCCGAACTCTGTTCGGTCTCTATGAAAGTAGTATGTATCATCTCATTGATACTCTCCACCGAAAGTGCATATGCAACTGTGTCGGCATACCGTACTAGCACCCATATGTCTCTCCTCTATCTCCGAACCGTAATAGAATCCTAAACCTGAGCCGTTGGTCCCTAATCCTACACATGAGTACCCGTATCCTCTGCATCACCGTCGTGCTCGCCTGGCGTCACCTCAGTCGGCACTCTAATGGATACTGCACCATCTGGACACTGTGGAGCTGCATCAATCTCCATCACCTGCGATATATCATTTGTCGGGTCGCTCTCCACCTGATGAGAGCTGAGAAGCTTCAAAATAGAAGCCTCATCGAATGTGACGTTCCTACTCAGCACAATCTTCTTATTAACTGGATTCCAAAGCTTGTATCCTTTAACACCACATTTGAATCCTACAAATATGACATTCCTAGCTCGAGGTTTTAACTTATCAGTTCTAACATGATAATATACAGGGCAACCAAATATCTTAAGCTGGTCATAGTCATGTGCTGTCTCTCCCGACCACATCTCTATAGGGGTCTTTTCCTCAATCGCAGATGAAGGTAATCTATTAATGAGGTGGCTCGCATATGAAACTGCCTCAGCCCAAAAGATCTTCTCCAAACCACTATGCGCTAATAAACATCGAATCTTCTCCAGCAAAGATCGATTTAATCTCTCTGTCACCTCATTTTGCTGCAGTGTATGACTAACTGTGAAGTGCCTCTCTATGTCATCGTCCCGACATAGTTGCTGAAAGGGGTCTGAAGTATACTCGTCGTCGTTGTCGGATCGTAACGTCTTGATCTTTCTCCTAGTCTGTAGTTCTAATATTTTCTTCCACTCCACAAATAAATTTAGGACTTTATTCTTATGCTTCATGGTGTACACCCAACAACGTCTAGAATAGTCATCAACAAACGTGACGAACCAATGTCAACCACCAAGTGATGCAGTCTTGGTGGGACCCCAAACATCTGTGTGCATGTAGTCCAAGATGCCCCTCGTCCTATGAATGGCCGTCCCGAACTTCACCTTTGTCTTTTTGTCAAGTACACAATGCTCATAGAATTCTATTTTACCACTCTTGACTCCCTTCAATAGTTCCTGCTTGCACAAAGCCTGCAGTGATTTCTTTCCTGTGTGCCCTAACCTGTAATGTCAAAACCTACTCATGTCCGTCTCTGAAGTAGCTGAAGCAACCTGGTCAATCTCGGTGCTCCCCTTCAGATAGTATAAATTTTGACTGCGGACTCCCTTCATCACTACCAAAGATCCCTTAGTAACCTTCGCTACAGCGTCCTCAAAGATCACCCTGAATCCCTTAGCCTCCAAAGCTCCAACTGAGATAAGATTCTTTTTTAGTTGAGGAACAAATCTCACCTCTTTCAACTCACGGACTACTCCATCGTGCATCCGAATCCTCACAGTACCTATCCCACAAATGCTACAGGATTGATCATTTTTCATGACAACATCCCCGTCGAGTCTCTTAAACGATGAAAACCAATCTCGTCTAGGAGTCACATGATAAGTAGCGTCAGAATCAAGCATCCAATCCGATGCATCCAAATGGTTCACCTCCGGAGTAATCAAAAGAGAAAAGCTCGAATTATCGGAATCATTGCCTTTCGTAACATTTACCTTATTGGCCTTCGGGTCCTTATTCTTGCTATTCTCTTTTTTTTTGACCTTTGGGCAATCTCTCTTCCAATGTCCTTGCTCCTTACACAATGCACATTGGTTCTTTTCAAGCTGGTGACGACCTCTTGACTTTGACCTCCCTCTATTTTCACCTTTCTGATATGAGTTTCTACCTCTCGTCAATAAGGCCTCTCCTGAAGTACTAGCGCGGGAAGTCTCCTTATCCTTCCTCCTCAAATCGTAGTTAGTCAATGCGTTAGTCACTTCACTATAAGTGATAGAAGATCTCCCGTTCAGCAAAATAAGCACGAAGGTATCATACTCCTCATCCGGTAAGGAGTCCAAAAGAATAATAGCCTTGTACTCATCCATGATCTTCTCATCCATGTTCGCCAAGTCCGACAATAACTTAGTGTAGTTGTTCACATGAGCCGCAAACGAGGTGTCTCGGGACATCTGGAATCTGAATAACCTACACAGCAAATGCAACATGTTCTCAACACTCTTCGTAAGATACTTATTGTTAAGAATTTCCCACATCTTCATCGCAGACGTCACCCCAATCACATCATATTTCAGCTTCTGTTCCAAACAGGACCTGATCACCCCACAAACGTTCCTATTCATCTTTTCCCATACCGCCTCTTCATATTTAGGTGGCCTCACATCGACCATGATGGTCTCCTTCAAATTTTGAGCATTGAGCGCATCCTGTACGTCGCTCATCCACAAATCAAAATTGATTTTGCCGTCATATTTTACTACACTAATCTTAGTGTTCAGAAAACCCACTTGAACTGTACCCGTCATGTTTTCACCAACTTCTTCACCCATAATCACAAACTTTAAATTACAAAGAAAGATTCAAACTTTATAGAATTTAGAAGTTACCCAACTGAAGCCTAGATTGGATTCCAAATAGAACTCCTAACCAAACGAGGAAAGCGAGATCTTCAACGACAACTTCAAACCCTAACTCCACCAAAGTCTAGAACTCTAAGAACCAAGCTTTCAACTGAATCTTCCTCCACCTAATCCAAAATCTTAGATCTGAAATCTGAGCTCTGATACCTCTTGTTGCAGGTGAGCGATGAGAGAAGAAAACCAAAACCAAACACGAGTGCAATTCACAAAATAACGATCAAAATCACACAAACACAGGAATTTACGTGGTTCGGCAATTGCCTACGTCCACGGGGAGGATGAGGAGATTTCACTATATGGAGGAGAAATACAACTGGTTATAACTCACAAAATCACTCAAATATAACCCTAACCAAAGCTCTCAACTCCCTCACAATATCTCCCTCTCAAAGTACTCAAAACAATGCTAATTCTCTCATTTAGAAACCCTAAAAAACGTGTTTCTATTTATAACAAAACACAATCCCAAATAGATTAGGATTCTAAAAACGAGTCTGCCACACCCTGGTGTGGCACACACCACACCCATGACAAACAGGACAGATTCTGTCACACCAGGGTGTGGCAGACACCACACCCATGGCAGACAGGGCAGATTCTGTCACACTCATGGCAGACACCACACCAGGGTGTGGTGGAGTCTGTTTTGCTTATTCTTCACGTTTTTCTTAATTCCTTCGCCGTTTTCACAAATTTTACAAAAACCACATTTCATTTTCAATTTATACACAAACCACCTTTAAAGTTGGTTTTTATCGCAATCAATTGCCTCCCAGTAAATTTCTTCACTTAAACCCCAAAATTACCCTTAAAAAACTCGCATTCAATGTACATGACTCACTTTTCACAACTCACGTACCTTGAACGTGAATTTTAAAGCTTATTTTTGGTTTTTAGTAAAAATTTGACTGGGAGGTGGGTGATTGCAACAAAAACCGGCTTTAAAGGTGGTTTACGTATAAATCAAAAATGAAAGGTTGTTTACGTATGATTACCCTATTTTTAGGGTGACTTCTAGGAAAAAAAAAACCCAAACTATAAACTAGTAAACTTGCAAAGGAAAAGATCTAATTAATGATCTAAATATAGTTGACATTCTTATGAGGATTATGTCCAGTCCCTCAATAGTTTTATATTCTTAATAAAATACCCATAAGTTTGTTCTGTTTATTTGATTCTTCTATAGAGGTATCTCCAATTCTTTTGGAGTTTTAGGGATGACATCGTAGACTTTTTGCTGATAAAATTCAAAAGATGCAATTTGACTGTATCATCTTCCAATTTCTCTCCTTTACCAACTCATAACTTTTTTCTATTGTTTTATATTTTCCCTTGAAAGTTTGTATGCGCCAATCTATCCAAATGACCTTTTGTTTGATGTTTTAGTTGTCATGTCACTTTTTTTGTGTTACCGATAAAATTCAGGAGATAAAACTTTAAATCTAGATCTAAAAAAAAGGTTTTTTCCTTATTGTTCTTTCAAATTTTAGTATTTTGAAATTAGTCACTCAAATCATTGAAGTTTCTATTTGATCCCCCAATTCAATAATCTTAATTGGGTGATTACAACAAAAACCGACTTTAAAGGTGGTTTACGTATAAATAAAAAATGAATGGTTGTTTACGTATGATTACCCTATTTTTAGGGTGGCTTCTAGGAAAAAAAACCCAAACTATAAACTAGTAAACTTGCAAAGGAAAAGATCTAATTAATGATCTAAATATAGTTGACATTCTTATGAGGATTATGTCCAGTCCCTCAATAGTTTTATATTCTTAATAAAATACCCATAAGTTTGTTCTGTTTATTTGATTCTTCTATAGAGGTATCTCCAATTCTTTTGGAGTTTTAGGGATGACATCGTAGACTTTTTGCTGATAAAATTCAAAAGATGCAATTTGACTGTTTCATCTTCCAATTTCTCTCCTTTACCAACTCATAACTTTTTTCTATTGTTTTATATTTTCCCTTGAAAGTTTGTATGCGCCAATCTATCCAAATGACCTTTTGTTTGATGTTTTAGTTGTCATGTCACTTTTTTTGTGTTACCGATAAAATTCAGGAGATAAAAACTTTAAATCTAGATCTAAAAAAAAGGTTTTTTCCTTATTGTTCTTTCAAATTTTAGTATTTTGAAATTAGTCACTCAAATCATTGAAGTTTCTATTTGATCCCCCAATTCAATAATCTTAATTGGAGGAATTAAGTAAAACACCATATAAGAACTAGGGGACATGATTGCAATATCAATGATTTGAGGGACTAATTTTGAAACAACTAGTAAGAATTCAGGTACCTAATAGCAATTGCAATGATTTAAGATACTTATTTCAAAATATTGAAGATTCAAGGACATATATTTACAAAATCCCATTTCTCTCTTGGACCAACTCATTACTTGTTTCCCATGTGAAGCATGTTTGTCTATGTTGCATGAATATGGGTGCTGGTGTGCACACGAACACGAGTACGGATATGGGACACGGGAAAATAGTAAAAGGTAGGATACAAGGACACCACTATATACATACATATTAAAATTAATAATCTACTTGAGATCGATATTGTTTTTCATTCACATGTTATGAGAACTAAAATCCTTATACCATTGTTATTTTTTTTATCAAGTAGATTATAAATTGAAAACCCACTCATATTTGAACTAGATACCCAAACGACCTTTTAAAATCATACTTATAAGCTAAACTAACTTGTACCATCTTCCGAATCCAATGGGTTGCATAAATTTGAGAAGTGTACGATATACATTCAAGAAGTGTATCATGATTTTTTTGAACTAGAACATGTGTTATATAATTGAGTACACGTTTGAATAAATGTATGTATATATCCAAGAAGTGTCCAAGGAGTGTCGGACACAGACACGGATGCGGGTAGCCTAGGTGAAGTGTCCAGGTAACCTAGGTGGTTGTCAATCTTTCCAAATACCTATTCTTTGATGTTAGCTGTCATGCCTTTTCTTATGAAAATTGTAGTACAATAAAATAGTAGTCCATGTGGAGGAGTTTGTGTTTTCCAATCTTCCCAAATACTATTCTTTGATGTTAATTGCAGTATAGAGTTTATGTTTTCTAATCTTTCCAAATAAAGTCTGAAGTGAGTGGAATTATGACCCCAAAAAAAAATCTTATATTGAACAGGAACCCCCTCCCATTCACCCATGTCAAGTTTGTGTTTGTCAATCTTTGATGTTAACTCTCATGTTAGTTTTCTTATGTAAGTTGTACCCTAGTAATAGTAAAGGGTAAATTTCGCAAAATGCCCAAAAACTTTGGACTGTTTCCTCGAAACTCCCATAAACATTTTCCCCCCATTAAGACGCCCGTGACGTGTCCCACGAAATCCCCCAACTTTCTTTTTCCTCATGCACAGGCCAAGATGGAGCTTCTGATCTTTTTTTCCTCTTGTTTACATTTAAATCTCTTGTATTATATTACTGTATCTGTTGAATATTCAGAAATTATGAAATCTCAGTTTCAATATGGGTTTTTCATCAAAACTCATTCAATTGAAGAGATATTCCCAAATAAAGTTTGATGTAATTGGAACTAGAATTAAGAAACTATGTTGAACAGGAACCCCCTCCTATTCACCTAAGTGAAGTTTGTGTTTGCCAATCTTCCCAAATAATTACTTAGATTTTAGCTTCCTTGCTGTTGCCAATCTTCCGAGTACATATTCTTTGATCAGTTCATGTTTAACTCTCATGTTAGTTTTCTTATGTAAGTTGTACCCTAATAGTAAAGGGTAAATTTTACAAAATGCCAAAAACTTTGGGCTGTTTCCTCTAAACTCCTGTAAACTTTTTCCCCCACTAAAGCCCCTTAACATTTTCTATGAAAACCCCCAATTTTCTTTTTCCGCGTGCACAGGTCAAGATGGAGCTCCTGATTTTTTTATATCTCTTGTCTACATCCAAATCTCATGTATTACACATTGTATCCATCGATTATTAAGAAACTATGAAATGTCAGCTTAATTCAAGATGCTTTCCTAATCAAAACTCATCCGGTTGAAGAGACATTTCCATGATTCAAGAGTCATTACAGGGATCTCTTCAATTGCAACAAATCCTTGAAGGAGATTACAGTTCGAGACTGACAACATTAAAAGTTTAGGGTGTTTCGTAGGAATAAAAGGGAAAAACAAATTTTTGGGGATTGTGGGAACCAACCCAAAGTTTTTCAGGTGTCGATAGTAGTTGTTTTCAGGACAAAGATTCATTGTACTGATCTCTACAGAGTACAAAAGCTATTCCACCTCGTCTTGTACATAACCACAACAGAGTTGTTAAAAGAAAACACATGGTTTCAATATTGGTTTTGCATCAAACGGCCACAGACTTTGTCATGGAAGTTCAATTCATGTTATTACTATTGGTAGGTTATGGCCTTGGAGCTGGGAGTGCACAACATCAGAGTGAATTCTATAGCACCTGGGTTATTCAAGTCTGAGATAACTGAGGGTCTTGTGCAGAAGGAATGGCTTAACAAAGTGGCAATGAAAACAGTTCCTCTAAAAACCTATGGCACACTAGACCCAGCAGTGACATCCCTTGTGCGATACTTGATACATGATTCATCGCAGTATGTAACGGGCAATATCTTCATTATTGATGCTGGCGTAACTCTACCTGGTCTCCCTATTTACTCCTCTCTATGAGCTGAAGCTCTGGCATAACAATGGACGAGTGCAAATTCAGTGCTTTACAGGATCCGGTTTATTTGTTGGCATATACCTCTATTCATTGGTTATATGAATACGCGCACCTGGGTTCAGAGAAAAAAAAGGTGTACTTAATTTTTGAGCTGTTATGTCAGAATCTCATTCTTCATTTGTGTTCTAAATAAAGTTCGCATATTTTCTGTTACTTGGTGAAATAATATTGTGTTTTTGAGATATCGGACCCCCAAATCTCACGTATTTTGAGATGAGTCATGCAAATCATCATATTTTCAAGTAAGTCACCCGAAACCTTAAGTTATTGCAAATTAATCCCAACGGTTTAATTCTGTTTGTCTTTGACTCTAATCCCGGTAACGTTAAGTTTGTATTGTCCCTTTTATCCTTGTCTTCAACCCCTCATTCAGCCTGAGCCATGGCCAACTGCTTATCTTGTATTGCTGTTCTTGGAGCAGTAGCATCCACCAGGTCGACCCATGAACCCTTATCCCATCTGAAGGGCTGAAATTGCTGTCTTGCTTCCTCCATGAGTAGCTATGTTTGTGGAGGCCACTCTGGCTCAAGGAACAGATGTTGCATCTCCTCACCACAAATCCTCAGCGGCGTTAACGTTGGATTGAATGGAGATGGAGAGCCATTAGTGGGAGTCGAAGTTGTATCAATGTGCTATGATTCGTATCCAACAGTGGAGCATGGCTGAGGCATTCTCTTGGATGAATGGGGTATCGTCGCCGTTGAGGAATGGGAGGTGGGTGCGAATGGGGATGAGGCCAAGGTCGGCCTGGGGGTAGTGGAGGAGGGGTGTTTGGAGAGGAAGGGATGTCAAAGATGCGCGGAAGAGGGGAACAGTGGC